TTTGTTATGTCACAAAATTCTTCTGTTTCCACAGGCTTGTTAGCAGGAAAATCTGCGCGGCTAGCCATTCTAATGCCAGTGAGTGTGTTGTTGTAGCCATCAGTTGTTAAAATTTAGGGGCTTTTCTGCTCGTTCACAAATAGTAAACCCCTAATAGATAAAAGCACATGTTCATTATGTACACTCTTTGCGTTGTCTGATTCTAGTTGATAGTTGATTGATAAAAATATGAAGACTATTATCCGCAGTTTAATAGATAGCTAATTTCTGGTCCAACGCTCAACCTGTATTTCTCCTCAAAGTACTCCTGATGTTTTCAGTAGGTAATTATACCCTTATCCTCCTAACTTGATCCATGCTCAGATCCTAGTTTATGGCCTTTCCTCTGGTGATATGAAGTTGGAAGAAATTCCCGTCTCAGCTCAGCTTCTCTTATAAGAATTCTTGATTCTTAAGCTTTATCCTTCTAAAGAGTCCCCAATTAAAGCACACAAGCAATAAATTCTTGAAGGTGAATATAGATAAAACCAGTAATGAATTCTGCTAATTTCTCAGGCTTTTTTGTGTGTTTATCAAGTGAATTATCGTGAGGATTTATGAGGGAATTTGGCACCCAATCCTTAGTTGGCGCCTCAGTCATGAATCAGAAGTCGTTGCTCTTGAATTACCCTTTGTCATCTCACCAGTGATTGTTTTCCCTATCCTAATTATGATTTCTTTGTCAGACATTATTGAGAAATAAAATAGAAAGAGTCAGAAAACATGTTTAACGCTTTTCACTCAATCCCAATGAACCAACCATATTTGGCAAGCGACCTGCTTAGGTAATGGGACTTGTTACCTATTATGGCAGGTCATGAACCAACTGATCGATTTGCTAGTTTTAGGTGCATCACTCACCTTGCAACTTTCTCCTTAAGTTCCGAATCATTTTTTGATAAAATCTAACCAATTTAAATCAGTACACCTGATAGTTAGCAACTATCAGATGCCCCCATTTCGTTGGCAACTCACCCAACAAGATTATAAACATTCACAGATTAATCCCTGATGGATCTGAACCAGGCAAATTACCTAAAATCCCCCAAATATTATTCACCTTAAATTGATCTCCCAATATCTAATTCACTTGCTATAGGAAATTATCCCTAGTGATCCATGGTAATCTAGATTGCTGGAAAGGTGGTAAAAATCCCAACACATCCTCCCCTTGCCTAAATTTCCAGCAAGAATAAGATCAGGACAGGAGAATACCGCCTCAGACACCAGGTCAAATATTTCCTGGGTTCTAGTGGAGCACAGTCAATATGCACTCAACGCTGCTCAGGACAACCTTCATCATTCAGTTCTCTTCCTCTTCCTCCTCGAAGACGCCTCCTCAGAGTGCTTTCCCCATGACCCTCTGTCATTCATATATAATCAATTTACTCGTTACAATACTAATCACAGATCTAGTTTTACCCCCCATCAGGGCATATAACCCATTGTCATATTCAGGATTCTTGGTCCCACGTCATAAATTTCCTGATCTTCCTCCTTGCCCTTGACAGGAGGTCATTGCTGTTGATGTTCTTTTTATGGCCTAATCAAGGAAGCTCATTTATATTCACCCTCGTTATTTTCTTATGTTAACTTCTTGACTCATAACATTCTTAACTCTTCTCTGAAGAGCTCATCTCATTAATCTTTGAGAATAATATTTCCAAAATTAGAGCTTAATTGATTCTGAAGTTCATAATGTTGACTATTATAAAAGTCTGACATCCCCCTTCTCATCCAGCTCATATGCAAATTTGAAATCTCAGTACCAACAACTGCTTGGCAGCATGTCTGATAAAGATCCTTGGCTCTTCCAACTGAGGAGTTGATCTGCGCGATGGAACCTCTTTTATTATCCCCCCTATGACCCATACTCACAGTCAAGTACCCATGGCCATTCCTTCCATGGAATTACCAGAAATGGTACCCAACCCTGATAAAACCAGGTTAGCAATCATCTCAAATGACTCGCACAAACTTTTCCCTCTATCATCAATTCCCATATTACATTTCAAAACTCTCCTGGATTTGGCTCCATTTGCAGATACTCCTAAAATCATTGTTGAACCTCCTGAAGCAATGCCATCCACTCTTGATTAATCATTCCTCACCGGATCAGACTTGCTTTTGTAGTTCCTTTTCCAACTGGGCCAGTTTTACAAACCAGCTGTTCTGTCAACCAGAGTAGCCATTAAAAACCGTGAAAATTTTTAGACTCACCTATGCAGAATTGAGGACCTGAGTAACTGAGGCTCTTTTCCATAGCTCTGAACCCCTCCAATCTCGAAAAGATCCTAGATTGAGACATTGCAGCCTATGCTCTTCACTTTACCAGCCAAGTTCTTTAAAGTTGGGCCATCAAGCTTCCAGTCTCTCCCAGCTTCCATTGCTCATACTGCTTTCACTTCCAAGAGCTCATAGTCATTGTCTTCAGGATGCCATCGCTCCCTGCATGATTATCTTATTTCTGTCATGTCCCATTGGTACCTTCCCCTGATGGCTTTGATAAGGGTATTATTTGGCTACCCTCAGCTAGTAACCCATGCTCAATGCTGGCTCATATGTTCAATGTTCTTGACAAAGCCTTTCAGCAAGTGCTCAAGAGCATCTTCTGGCTCAGGTGCCATATTGGGATTACTCAGGGTTATTCGCCGACTGCCTCTTCTTGTTCTGTTGCTTCCCTCCCTGATCTGGGGTATCACATTTTTCAAGTACCAATACTTCCATCTCTCTTCCCTTAGTTGCATTCTCACAGGGATCATCCTCCACTCAACGAACTTGGCTTCAAAGTAGGTCTAGCCCTTGCTAGTGTCCAATCTTACATAGATTTTGACGGTTTATTTACTACTACTCTGATACATCCTCCCTCCCCCAAGAGGCGATATAAGCGGGCTCATCCCCAAGTTGAGGATAATTAATAATAAAATGTAAAAATATTCTTTTCTGTGCGTTTTTGATAATTTTTTCCCACTATATTTTTATCAATCTTTTATTTTCTTCTTCTTTTTTATATGTGACATGACCTTCAATTGGTTCAGAGCTCCATCTTTTTTATATTATTCCCCCAAACTGGTTTTGAGGTATACTTTGACCTACCAGTTTTCTATAGTTATAAGTCGTATTTTATAAAACTTAATCTCTTATTTTGGTTCAGCGGTCATTTTTTGGACTTAAACAAATCATTAGGACAAACCAACTCAATGGTTCATCAATCCTTCAGGATCTCTTTTTTCATTATTTTTTTCATTGATCCATCACTTAAAATACTTAGCTTGGATTAGATTCACTATCCTTCCATCCAAATAGGTTCTTGATGGAATATGCGTCTGTTGCCATCTTGGCAATAATCTCAAAGGTACCTGACCACAATGCAGCTAGCTTGTTTCTTCTCCAAAAATCATGCGTATCATAATAGGCAAATTTTTGCCTATTTGGTATTCTGATAAGGCCAGTCAATTCTTTTCATTGATTGTTTTTTGACTTAATACTTTTCTTCAAGGTTTAATCAAATGCTTGCAATTTCATCTCAATCAGGATATTAGACAATTGAATCAGGTATTTCTTGGCACTTATCTGCAAGGTTGGTTCCACCACCATGTATAGAATTGGCAGCAACGCGGCCTTCCTTCTATATAGTAACTCAAATGGCATTTTTCTCATTACCATATGATGGCTTATGCTGTATGTGAATATCACCAAATTAAGTTATGTTCCCATGCAGAAGTTCTCCCTGAAACCAGCTTATTCATCGTTGCAGCCAGCGTTCCATTGACCCATTCTACCAGTCCGTTTGTCTCCAGCGGTAATTACTGACACAACTCCTCAGAATCTCATTATTTCATTTAATCATGGGATCACATGAGACGTGAAATTTGTTCAATTATTGCTCAACAAGACTTGTGGGTATCCATGATGGTATACTACTTGATCTAAGATAAACCTTGTAGTGCTTGTAGCGTCTACTTTTTCTAGGGCCTTTGTTTCATCCCATCTTGTCAGATGGTAATTGCAACTATGATGTATTTGACTCTCCTGATACTCATGGTTAATGGGCCCATCACATTGATGGACACCATATGCCAGGAAAATCCCGGGAGGACCAGTTAATAATCAGTCATGTCCTTGTGAGGCTTACACAACTGGCACTCCACACAACAAGGAAGATAGTCTGTGACATCATAGTTGGACTCCCAGTAATACTGCTGGTGAATGTGATTAGTCATCTTCCTTGTGTCTCCATGCCCAACAACCTTATGCATAGCTTGAATGATAGCCACTTGTTCTGTCAGTTTTGGAAGTATCGTTTTCCATCAATCATCTTGAAAACTTGTCCATCCATAGTCTTGGTGTTCTCCATTGCTTTATGAAGCGCACCTTGGATTTTTTGGCTCAAATCTTGTCCTCTAAGTGTCACACATACGGCCAACCAACTTCCTTAATTATTTTGGTTATGATCCTCATCGCTCCAAATCTAATTACTGCATTAACATCCAAATTAACCACTTGATATCTAATCCTGTGCGTCATCATCATCAAACAAATCACTAACATCAATTTCTTCATACAAGATATCAGGGGGAATGGGATTTTCTGTAACTCTAGACTCTTTAACATCTAGGCTAAAGCCCTTTACAACTCCTGTTTGGGTTTGGCCTCTTTTTTCTTGGATCACATTGGTCTGTTCCAGAGGCTTCTTGCATTAAACAGCAAATTGTCCTCTTCCTTTGCACTGATAACAACGTTTTTCTTTTTTATTAATATGCTTAAACTCTTAAGGCTTATTTTCTAAACATTTCAATTATTGGAATCCTTAGCACCCTCAGTTCCCTTTATAGGATTCAAATTTCATAGTGGCTCTTTTTGAAACTTCTATTAGGGGCATCAAATGTAGCTCTTAATATCTTCAAATGATCCACCATCTGATAGGTGGTAATCTCAGTTGCAAACATGAAATACATCAGGTGGTGGAAGGCAATTTGGTAGGGCGTATGGCTACCAACCTGAAGGTTGTGGGTTCAATTCCCACCCTTTGCACATTGATTAGGGTGCCATCCAAAGGAAGCTATTGGCGGTTAGTAGGTATAATAACATGAAAACCTTACCCATGATGTAAACAGAAAAATCTGAGTCCCAATCTTGAGATGGAATTATTTCTTTGAAGAAGTTGACCCTGCTCAGGTTTCATGTTAATGCTTTCTTGCTTTCTTTCTCTCTCTTTTAGTAATATCTGTCCCCTGGTCAGCTTTCCTCAAATAAATACAACATGGAAGGCATCATTCAATGTAAATTTTGATAAGTCCAAAGGGCCGCTTGCAATGCAATCCATGTATCTGGAAAACAGCAAGTTAGAATTAGGCCAGCTTTCTGGCCAAGGTGCCGGAGCACCTGAATGGCAAACCAGCTTGCCAAAGGCACTACTGCTGATATGACGGATATTAAACTAGAGAGAAGTTCTTCCAACAACTGCCAGTGAGCCAAAATCTCATACAGGCATATAATAAGATACCAGATGAATATGGCCATTAAACCCGAGGGGTGTGTGAGTGCCAGTGGAAAGGGCGGTCTATTTTTCAACATAAAAAAATAAATTTTGGGAGAGGATTTTTAAGGGGAAAATAAGGAAAGAAAAATCGACCAACAGTTTTCTCAGTGTGATGCAACTAATTGAATAGTGTTTAATTGATGAGGAAACAAGCCAGGATTGGGTCCCTCAAGTTTGACCCAACTGGTGAATTTTTGGGGATGGGGGCGGATAAACTCAATGGGAACCAACATTAAAGGATTTGATGGAAGGCTGAGTCACTGTCAGTTTGACCTCAAACACATGAACTGAGGCTCAACTGCATTTCCAACAGGTAGCGCGATGGCATCTGGTATTACGAGCAGTGGGATTCCCTTAAGGCCACCCCACTTAGGGGCGGTCCCAATTGGTTGGGAATGGGTTTGGGATGCCCAACCCACTTATGCCCAGTCGCTGAGCTGTTCATTTGGTCAAAATCATTGCATCAGCTGCAACTCCCAATTTAATGGAAGGGAGCTTTGGACTATCATTGATGGTGTCCGATGCTATTACCTGCACGTTGGGGATGATCCCTAATGATTTTGAGAGGGGGTTAATTTTGACAATTGTACTGGTGGTCAATCAAAACTATCGGCAATTCCAGCTAATAGCTCAATCTTCATCCCTCTTTGGCTATGCAGATTCCAATTGTCAGGCTTAATTTCCATCAGTTTCAGAGTGATCAATTTCTAATTCAGCAACCCATCACAGATTTCCATAATCTGTCTAACAAGTTCATCTGTGGTAAGCAAAGGTACCGGGGAGGGGTCCAGAGAGGGAAGGCTGTTATCCAATGTTCATCTACCATGTGGGCGAGGTTTCCCTCGGTGATGAGGGAATGGTCACCCTCTTCAGAGCCTTCATGCTTGTAAATGGGAAGAGTGACTAATCTATGCACAGGGGACGTTCCCCTGGACTTACATTACCCTTTCCTTTTTCCAAAGGAAGGGCACTACCACTGGGCAGCTGCACGATGGCCACATTTTTGTGCGCCTTGGGTAATTTGATCTCCATTACCATTGCGACTTTTTGGGGGAAATGGGGGGCGTTGGGGTGGAATTTGTAAAACGCTTTGACCATTTCCATGCAGTTAGCGCAATCGCGAGCCTTAATTCAACTTCTCATAAGCTGGATATCCTTTCCAGGCCATGAGATACTGAACAGATTGACAGGACTTATGGAATGCTAGGATATTTTCCACTTCGTCTTCCTCCACATTTTCAATTATTATTGGCTCAGGATCCATGGGAACAGTACCCTTGAAAGGTGACTGTCATGGAAACGGCAGAAGAAGTTTAGACTGGCCTGCCAGTCAGGATGTGTGAACACCCAAAAAGCAAGCCAGAATTCCAGAGGCATTGCCAACCGTACAACTTGATATGGAGCTGGGAAATGTGATACCACGAAGTGGTGGTGTAACAACAGGGTAAGGAGTGTCCCAACGCCAAACCACACTGAACCCATTTCAAACTCAGTGGCTCTAACTGCAGGAGGTGGGATTACTGGGAAGTCTCGATGAGATTCTTGGCTTGAGAGGCCAAATCATTGGGGGCAATAGGGAGATGTATTCTCTCTATCTATTGTTGTACATAGGGCCATAAGATCCCCATGTATTGTTGTCAGAAATTCATAAGAGTGGGGTTGTAAGACCAAAAGTGTTAGACTTGCTGGACCCAATCAACAATAGAGGGAGCCATGGTGACCAAAAGAATTGGTATAGCCCACCCAGAGTGCGGGGCGACGGACCACCAGGGAAATGCCATCTGGGATGCAGTCAGAATGGAAAATAAAGAAAATTTGATTTTTTTGGCGAAAATTTATTGGGAAAGGAAAGTAAGAAAATTGACCAACAATTTTATCAGTGTCATGCAACTGATTAAATAGTGGTCAATTGGGTAGTGACAGGATGGGGTTGGGGCCCACAAATTCGACCTAACCAGAAAATTGTTTGGGAATGGGGGGGTTTATTCTTTAGAAACTGACATTGCAAAATCCGGCGGCGGGCCAAGTCTCTGTTAGTTTGACCTCAAACGTCCAAACCAGGGCTTGACTACATTTCTGACGATTAGCATGATGGCATTTGGCCTGATAGGCAATGGGAATCCCCCAAGGCCATCCCTTATAGAGTTGGGTCCATTTGGTTGGGAATGGGTTTGGGACAGCCAACCCGCCCACGCTCAGTCATTTAACCGTTCGTTTGGTCAACAGCAGCACATTGGGTGAAACGCCTGAATTACTATCTGAAGGCTTTGAACCCCCGTCAATAGCACCCAATATTTGTTCAACTGGTTTGGAGATAGAATTAGAACTGTCAGGTGATCCAGCTGATATCTCATTCTTCATGCTTTTACAGACATTCAAATTTTGGGCATCAGCCAGATTGCTGGCCAAATTAGATTTGGCCAATTTCATTTTGGTGATCTTGGCACAGATTTCACTAATTACCTGCAACAGTTCTGCCGAGGTAAGTGTGGGTATTGGGGTGGGATCTGGAGCAGACGAGCTGTTACCCATCGCTCATCTACTACATGAGTGAGGTCACCCTGAGTGATGAGAGGTACCGCCATCCTCTTTGGTGTCTTTTAATTCAGGAACAGGAAAATGACCTGATTGAGAGCCAAAGGACGTTCCCCAAGACTTACATCACCCTTTCCTTTTTCCAAAGGAACGGCACCCCCACCAGGAAATTGCGCCAGAGCCACATTCTTGTGTGCTTTAGATAGCTTGATAGCCATAATTGTCGCGATTTTCTGAGGAGGGCGGGGGGCCTCATGGTGGGATGCATGGAAGGCTTCGACCAGGGCCATGCTTTCGCGCAAATGCGTGCCTTGACCCAACTAATTTTGTAGGCAGGGTATCCTTTCCAGGCCACGAGGTATTGGACTGAACGTCACAACTTGCGAATGCCAAGATAACCTCTACCTCAGCTTCTTCCTTGTTATTGACAACAATTGGTTCTGGGTCCATGGGAATTATACCCTTGAAGGGCGACAATTGGGAAACATGGAAGACTGGGTGCTGCTTCCAATGTGCGGGAAGCTTCAGGCAGAATTCCCCATTACCCAATACTTTCTCCACTAAGTGAGGACCCAAAATGCTTACTGGCGAACTTGCGGGAAGGGGTTTGAATTTGCAAATGATGGGTATTAAGAATGACATAGGAGCCCACCGTAAAGTCATGACCTGGAAGGCACTTTTGGTCCTCAAATTACTTATAGTTATCGATGGCTTTGGTGAGGTGTTCCTGCACTAAGGCTTGAGTTGATCGAATATGGGTAGCATGATCTGCGGCCGCTTGATCCTCAAAATGCAAGCATGCCCTGACTGAAAATGATGGGTTATAGCCCAACGTTGCTTCATATGGTGAAAACCCCGTGGATGCATGGATCCCATTATTGTATGCAAATTGAGCAAGAGGCAGGGCACTGGACCAAGTATCCTGCACTGCTGTGGCATAGCAACGCAGGTACTGTTTGAGGACTTGATTAACTGCTCGGTATGACCATCAGACTGGGGGTGATACGCCATGGATCAACAGGGGTTATCTTCAGGATCAATAGGAGTTCACTCCAAAAGCGTGCGGTAAACTGAGTACCCCAGTCACTAACAATGGTTGGACATTCTCCTTCTCGACTTTTGAAAAAGAAAGTTGGAGGTAAGAATGCCCCAAATCTGTTACCATAATTGGCCTATCACCTGTCTGATCTTTGAACAATATTGTGGTTATCAATGATATGAGTACCAACGGCGAAAAGACTAGGCGGATTCTCTGTGGAACCCTATCTATTGGTAAAATATGATTTATAACCAAAATTAGCTTAATAAGGTAAAAACTGATAATAGATTGCTCCGACTTCTTGGCCAAATTAAAGGTGTTCATTACCACATGGATCTGATCACTCCTGAGGTGAGAAGATTTTACCCGTTGATGATTGGGTGCAAATTAACAAATCATTACCACATGGATTTGATCACCCTCAAGGTGAGAAGATCTTACCCGATGGTGATTGGATACAATTTATCTTTCATTACCACACAGATCAGTTTTGCCACAAAATATTTATCCTTGATCTGATGGGCCAAAAGCCTATATTTCCTAATTTGGATGATTCAGCTTTTTAAAAATACTTTAGCCCCAAATACCCATGGCCCTGGGATTTGAACTAGTTTAAATAGGAAATACTAGTATCAAAGAAAGGGCTTTTTTGGCTTGCCCTGCATAAACAATAAAAAACATAAAAAACTTTGACAAAGCTTTATTTATTACTTTTATTTTAAAAAGTAAGTTTCTCACTTTGACAAAATATTTGTGGCATCCATCAGTGGATCCTACAAACTGGTGCTCACTACAGGGGCACGCCTGTGCATAAACCATGGTTATTAACATGGAGGCTGTAAACATGAGCAGCTCTTCTGGTTCTTCTTTAAATGAATCACGATTAGTTGCTCTTGAGAAGCAACTAGCCAGCTCTTT